TAAGGATTTACGAACGTCTAATAATTCTTTAAAATTGTCATGCATTATAATTTCCAAAGTATTTAAGGCTTCTTTGGGAGTATATTCACCAAAAGGTAAACGCAAACCACGACCGATTATTTGTTCGATAAAAGTGGTTGATTTGAAGGCTCGCAAAGGGACAATAACATAAACATTTTTGACATCTCAACCCTCTTTTAACATGCCAACCGCAATAATAATTCGTGTAGGATTGTGGGGATTATCAATGTTTTGTAATTCTTGGGCTAAATCATCCGTAATTTTGCTACTATCAACTTGCAAAATATTCTCTTGGGGAAATTCACAATTAACAATTAAACTGGTGCGAATGTTTTCGGCTTCTTCAATGCTGGGGGCAACTACTAACATTAAGGCTTTTTGGAAGTTTAGATTATTTTGTCGGGTGTAATTATCTAAAAGGGTTTGCTTGGCATCCAATAATTTTATTGCGTCTTTTAATTTGGTTTCTTCCTCCTGATATCCATCATATCGGCCCACCATGACCGGAATTTTGATTAATTTATCCCGCAGGGCTTTTCATAAAGGATACTCAAAAATGATTTCGTTAAGTGGTGTTTTTTCATGAGGAGTGCCAGTTAGTCCAATTAAATTTTTTGGTTTTAATTCTCTAATGGCTTCGGAAAACTTTTCCCCATAGTATAAATGATGTTCGTCAGCAAAAATAACCAAGTCATTTAATTTACCTAAATGTTCCCGTAAAGATTGGCCTAGTATTTCATCATAATTACTAGTTTTGCGAGCCGTCTTGCCTTTGGCTTGGGTTAAAGATTGAACGGTAAAAATAAATAATTTGACGGAATTTTTATCAGTAGTTTTGGCCGTGTGAAAATTTTTGATATCAATAATGTGGGGCGGCTTGATGGTTAATTTATCAACCAGAGAATTGGGTTTGTTGAGAGAAAAATTATTAATGGTCTTTTCTCGGATTATTTTTCCTGGAGCAACAATTAGAAAATTAGTTATCTTTTCCGCTTCGGCTAAATAGTTTAGAATAGCGGCAATTATATAAGTTTTTCCAACTCCGGTAGCTACTGAGAGAATGTATTCTGATAATTTTTCAGACTTGTAATAATGTTCTAAAAAGACTTGAACCGCTTCTTTGTTAGGTTGGCGGAGTTCGAGTTTTTTGGAAATGTTGTCGAGGGTGTTTTGGTTAAGCATTATTAAGATTTTTCTTTTTTGTTTTAACAAGAGAAAATATCTTTTTTAGTTCTTTAATTTTTTCTTGCTCCCTTTCTAAATTTTCCAAAATATCCTCTTCTCTACTGATTATATTGTATTCCTTGCAGCATTGCTTTTCATTATGCTCTAATTTTATTCCAAGAAATTCTTCTGTGTCGGAAGGTAACCAACTAATTCTATTTTCACCGCTTTCCTTGCTATGAGTAATGCCATTGGTTTCTTCATTCGTTTCGTTTTCTCCATATTTCTCCCAGAAATTTTTTTGTTTATTAGTTCAATTCTCTTTCCCTTCATCATCTATTTTCTTGTCTTTATCTAATAAGAATCAATAATTCAAGTCTAATTTTTTGGCAAGCTCATCAAAAAAAACATAATGAAATTTGCCGAAAATAGGTATAATTTCAATGTCATTTAATTCTTCTTCAAATTTTTCTCTTAGTACGTTATTAAAAAGAATATATTCTGTTGTTCCCTCCACAAAAAGAATGTTTTTGCTAAAAAATACTTTTAGAGTATGTTCGTTCAGGAGCTTTTTTTACTTACTTTGGTAAAACTGAACTTCTTCAACTTTTTCGTTCATTCGAGCAAATTCCTTATATTCTTCTATAATCTTGTCCTTAAATTTGTCTTTGTTAACTAGTTTCCAAAAATTTAGGAGAGAAAGTAACTTCCTTTCTTCGTCTTTTTTCATGACAACCAAGTTCAATCTATCGTGATGGATAAAATGAGATAAAAAGGACGGCGAATGGGTTGTCATAATAACTGTAATATTATTTTCAACAAGTTCTTTTACTAAGTTAACTGCCTTAATAGATAAATAAGGATGAAGTAATAATTCTGGCTCTTCAATTAAGATTATAGGAACATATATTTCTAACTCCAAATAGCGGAAAGGAGCCGCTTTGTCTATCTCTATGTTTTTATTCTTGGATTTTTTTAAAATCTGATTCGCTAAACTTTTTAAACTGTTGTATTTTAAAAGACCCGAACCCACTTCAAGCCATGGATGAGTAATTCCCATTCCGGAATTGTATCCTCGGACGCCGTAATCAACATCCAGGACAAAATTTCTCTCCTTATCTTCATAACTAAGAATTAAAGATTCGGATTTTTGGTTTCTCCAACCTCTTTCATCACTACACTTCTTAGTATTTCAGTAACTTTTTCTAAGTTGTCTTCTGTATAATATACTACACAACTACGCTCTTTTATATTTTCAAACTCAATTCCTTTATCAATGATTTTCTTTTCTTCTTTGGTGAGGAAAGGGAAGTTTGATTTCAAGTCAAAATAGTATATTTCATAAGAGCATTTTAGTTTTCCTTTTTCTTCTGCTGAAGAATGTCGGTTGCTTGGATCATGAATGGGAAAGCCATCCCCAAAACTTCTAAAAAATATAGGTAAAGTTTTGAAACCGCTCTTATATTTTTCGTTGAGTTTGTCTCAATCCTCGTTTTGGTTAAAAATATAATTTAGCAACCTGGTTTTTCCAGTATTATTTTCTCCAACAATTATATTTATTCCATTCTTCATTAATCTAAACTTGGAGTTGTTTATATTGAGAAGTTTTTTTATTTTTATGATAATTTCTTCTATATTTTGATCTTTTTCCATAATTATTTAATTTTTTCTTAACTTTTAAATCCTCGCATAATGTCTCAAAATATTAATCGGTATCTTTCCAATTTTAATGTTGCCAAACTTCTTATCTTTCAATTCGGGGTCAACACTCAACGCAGCAATTTCCAAAAACTTATTTTCATCCATAGAATTAAGCAAAAAATTAATCAACCCTTCGGTCAGCATGCCATCTACCACAGCCAATAATGTATCCCCTCTTTTACCACAAAAATGTTCGTTATCAGGCTGATAATCATATTCTAATTGAGTAGCAACTAATTTTGCTAATTCCCCATTTAAAGCATGTTCGGCAATACAAATTATTCCGGAATGAACCTCAAACATGGATTTCTCAACTTGAAAATAAGTAAATCCACCCCCACCAGTTCAATTAACTTCCTCGCTAATCCCGCCTTTGTCCTCGCCACTAATAACTTTTTTTAATCGTGGAACAGCAAAATTATTAATTGTATTTTCGTTATTCTCAACAATAATTCACTTTCTCTTTAATTTTTGAGCCACAGCAGCCGTAGTGCCGGAACCAGCAAAATAATCCAAGACAATATCGCCTTCATTCGTAGCGATTTGGATAATTCTTTTTAGTAATCTTTCAGGTTTAGGAGTGGCAAAGGGTTCAATTTCGGGGAATAGTTCCTCAATTTCTTCTCGTGCTTCCGCATTATGACCCACTTCCTCATATTTTCATAAAGTTTGAGGTACCAGGTCTTTTACTCTACTCAAAAATCTTTTTTGTCGCGGTGCGTTGTTTTCATTATCCTTGCCTCACCAAATAAGATTATCGTTTGCCATTTCTAAAAGACGAGTTTGGGAAACAGTTCACGAGCGACCTTTCGGAGGATAAACAATTTTTCCCAAAGGACTAGTAATAGGGTAAACGCAATTCGGCGACATAGTTTTGGCAATTATGGGAAGCGACATTCAAGGCCCCCGTGGGTCGTTGTCGGGGTTTGTATAGGCCTTATCTTGTTTTTCTGTTCTTGGCGAGCGGTTAATCTTAAACCTTTCATTGTCTTTCGCATAAACTAAAATATAATCTTGGTCGCAACTAAAAAATTTTGCGTCGTTTCGCGGAGAGTAGACTTTTTGCCAAATCACAGTTGCCACAAAATTTTCCTTCCCAAAAATTTCATCTAAAACTAATTTAAAATGATATAATTCGGTATCGTCTAAATGAACTCATAAAGAACCATCATCACTTAACAATTCATAGGCTTTGAGAACTCTATCTCGCATCATGGTTAATCAAACTGAATGCTCCAACTGGTCGTCATAATTAGCAAACATTTGTCCGGTATTAAAAGGCGGGTCAATATAAATTAACTTGACTTTATTCACATACTTTTTTCGGTATTCTGGGATTTTGCTTAAACTGGTTAGAGCATTTAAACTATCCCCGCAAATTATTAAATTATCAGAGGAATTTTCGCCAACTTTCTCCATTTCTTTAAATAATCGGACCTCTGAAACCCGATAATCATTTGGTTCTACTCATTCATATTGGCCTTTGTCATAATCTTTAACAATCAGAGTCTTGTTTTTATTAACTCAGTTTAGTTCTAATTTGCCGGATAATTTGTTGTTGTTTTGAGTCATGTTTTATTAATTTTTTTTTAGGGAAATTTCAATTTGAGATTTCTGTTCCTCAAAATGCTTATTTTTGTGGGAAGAAAAATGAATTTCTTTGATGTTTTTGGGTAATTCTTTCAATTCAATACTGGTATTTTCAATGTGCAACACTTTCAAATTAGTCAGATTTTTTAAAGATTCAGTAGAACCAGCAAAATGGTTAAATTTATTATTGTCTATCCTCTTGGGATCTCAATTGCCTAATTTCAATACTCGCAGGTTAACGAACCTGCTAAATGGGGTTAAATCAAAAGGCACCGAACCATCATTAATAAACCTATTATTGCCGATTAAAAGTTCTCTCAATTTCCTGCTAGATAAATCATTTAAAAAATCGAGTTTAGTGAGATAATTATTAAAACAGGATAATACTTGAAGATTAGAACAACCAGTTAACTTTAGGCTAGATAAATAATTGCTATCACAACAAACTATTGAAAGATTAATTAGACCATTCAGATTTAAAGAAGATAATTTATTATGAGAACAATCCAACATTTCTAAATTAGAACACTGACTTATAT